GGCTCTCGTGAACTTTGGTTTCATCACCAGGTTGAGATAAGTGCCACTATCGACTTCCTCCTTTCGGGCTTGCGACTCGGTATAGGTGGACGACGGCGTGCCATCTGTGGTGTGATAGACAGCAGGAGTCCGCGGCGGGAAGGTCCCAGGTCCTGGCGCAGGAACACTGGGAGCTCTCGGTGAACGCTCTTCAGCATTATCTCCTTTCTCGCTGGAGCACACCTCAGTTAGCCCATGACTGGGAGCATGTGGAAACGGCGAAGCTGAGGCAGACCTGTCCGAGTCCTTGTTCGTTCCGGCATTCGTAGTCTTCTTGCGCTTTGGGGTCGGAATGCGACATTCTATTTGGAAGGCTACACAGTTTGTGCAGGGCACACCGAGACTCGCGGCGTCGCATCGTACCTAGACAAAGATATTAGACGAAGAGGTTTGGCGAAAAGTGTCGATCGGAGGAGGGGGTAGGTGGAATTCGGTTGTGGGTAGGAATCGGCCGACTCGGAAGCTCAATCGCCCACAAGAGAAAGAACACTCAAATAGAAAAGAAGACTATTCGTACCTTGCGGGCGTGACATGTCTGTACAATACAAGGTTAGCTTTGATTCAGATAACGGAAGGCCGACAAGAGGTGGGCGTGAGATCTCGCAGGGCAGCATTGCACCAGTAGAGCGCAACGCAGCGCCGCGGCGCGAGTAGCGATACCTCGGCACAAAGTGGGCAGAGGGGCCACGGAATGGCGGGCGCGACAAAACAATAAGGTGTGAGACTACGTACCTCGCAAGCTCTAGAAGCTCGTTGCCTATTCGAATCAAAAAATATATTAGCACACAGGTTACATCCGCCATTGATTGGAAGATGGCTATTGAAAAAATTTGACGGAATTTGGGTCGATGGTGAGGGACGAACCTGCGAAAACTCAAGTGGTTCGCGGCGGCCGCGGCCGCGGCGGCAGCAGCAGCAGAGCTACCTTGAGCGTTGGGACTCGCGCCAGCTGGATTGGTAGAGGTTCCTGGGGCCTGTGATGGCGACTCTGATTTTTGTGGTGATTGTTGCTGGTTTAGCTGCTGCTGCTGTTGCTGCTGCTGAGCCGAAAGGTCGGTCGACGACATATCGACATCCATGGGCGACCGTGAAGCGTGAGCTGCGACGGAGTCGTGAGGGTAATGGTGAAGAGGTTCGTCGACGAATTTCTCGGGTCGACTAGTAATGGGAGGAGGGCCAGTGGGAGGGAACAGGTGTGGCAGCAGCCGAGTCACTGGCTCTGGTGGCCCAGGCGCAACAACGTCTGGCTCTGGCGCAGGCTCTGGATGTGTTTGTGCTGGTGGTGCTGTTGTTGGTGGTGCTGGGACTGAGACCGAGACTGGGATGGACGGAGGCAGCGGAGCCTGGTGATTATGGTGGTGGTGCTGGTGGCTGGCCTGGCCGGCTGGGTACGGGGAGTGGGCGTGGTGTTGGTGTTGGAGGTAGTGGCCCTGCTGCTGCTGACGCTGGTAAGGCTTCTGGTACTTCTTCTGGTGCTTCTGATGTGTACGAGAATTGTTCAGGTGGCGTGGGTGCGGGTGCGTGTGCGGGTGCGGATGCGGATGCGGGTGGAGGGGGGGTGAGGTCAGCGAGAACAAGGAGTGGTGGGAGTGGGGGTGGGCAAATGGTGTTTCCCCTGATGCTGGTGCTGATGCGGGTGCTGGTGCTGGCGCCGGTGCTGATGCTGATGAGAAGAGGATGGGCCTGCGGGACGTGGAACCGGGGGCGGTGGAGCTGCTAGTGCCGGAGCTGCTGGGGCTGGAGATTGATGAGATGGAATTCGGAAAATGCACTTCTGCCGAGTGTCCTGCAACTCCTGATGATGATGTTGTTCCTGTCGTTCTTCTACTTACTGATGTTGTTGCTGGTATTGTGGATGATTCCAAAAGAGAAAAAGATGGGTCAATAGTAGGTCCGGAACCTAACACAGGTTGAGGTCCGGGAAGGTGCAATCCAAACGTGGAGACCTCTACAACTCTTGCCTCTCTTCTTCCTCTTTCTTCTTCTCTTCCTCCTGCACTGCAGCTTATATCCGTTGATGTACCCGTATCAAACAACAACTGATGTTGCCCCGTCCGTTCTTCTTTTTCTTCTTCTTGTCTCTGCTGCGACTGATGGAATGGGAAGAGCACTGACGTTAGATTGGGTTCGCTTTGTTGCCGCAGACCGGCAATCGCGTTGTAATTGTTCTCTGCCAGAATCCCAGATTCGGCTGCATCAACATGAGCCGCTGGAAGGTCAATGTCACCGTCGATGCCGAGGTCAAGGCTGAAGGTCAAGTTCAAGTCCAGGTCGCGGCTGACGTGATGGTCGAGGCTGTGCTTTCGAACCTCACTGTCGGTTTCTTTGCCTAATTCTGGCAACCCGGTGTCTTGTTTTGTCTCTTCTTCAAATCCAAAGTAGTTTTGCTGTGATAGTTGCTCGTTTCGATGGTAGTGTTGATCGGTTTCTTGTTGCTGCTGCTGCTGCTGCTGCTTCAATAGCACAATTCCGGGAAATTCAAGGTCGCCGTCCTCTTCAAGATTCGGCACACTTGGCCACTGGAGCACAGCCATCCAAATCTGGCCTCAGGAGATGAGTGACCTCCTGACCTTTATGAGGATGTTTGTGCTTTGTCCGGCGTGTTTTGCTGTCCTGTAACTCGGGCAATAAGCTGCCGTGTACAACGGTCAGTACTTTATCGCGTTGTGTCTTTGCGCAGGAAGGATCTCATCTGCCTGCCCAGACTCTATGCTGCTTTGCAAAAAGAAAGGGACATGAAAACAGAAGAACGAAGATAAATGGTAACGCAGTTCAACAACCAACACAACCACCGCGAAGGGCGACTCTGGAAGGGTCGCGTACCTTTCAAGTAAACTACAACATGGCATACCAAGAAACGATATCCCTACAGAGCTGGAGCTGCTGTCATGTACGTTGGTCTAGAACCCTGTTTTCCTACTCAGATACCCTGCTGTCTCTTTTCTTTTTTCTTACGCTGCTGAGGTAGGTTTCTTGGTCTGAAGATCGGACAGAGTTGTCGCCTGTAGGTTTGAAGCTCGGCCGATGACGGGATACAATAGATCGGGGAATCAGAAACCCAACCAAGTCGTGCCGCGCCCAGATTCCCGCTGCATCTGCCGGTTTGCCGCTGCTCAGGTTCCTTGTTGAGCAAAGCCCCCTCTTCACATTACTGGTCTGTTCACCAGCAAAGACAGAAAAGGCAATCAGCTTTAGCTTCACAGCATAGAGCCTTTGGCGTTTCTATCGCTTGCTGTCGTCTAGCTCCCAGGTTCAACGTTGTAGGAGATCCACTGTTGTGGTATGTGGTGATGCGCTGCAGTCTTTTCTCGACGTTGACTCGCTACTTTCTCGATATCTCGCAATCGGCTCCCGTGTAAGTAAGGCAAACTCGTCTGCCCTTGTCCCGGGACGATCTGCCTTGTGTCCGTATCACAAGGCAAGAGTTGTAAGGCTAGGCAGGTATCACGGAGGGAGGTCCGGCTAGTCGTCTGGCCCCAGCTTCGTTTTCTCAAATATCGGATCCAGTTATGGCTCGACGTGTTCCCACTTTGAAGACCGCAGCGGAAGCAAAACAGGCGTTATCTTGCGTTTCTTTCCTTGGTAACCTGCGGCTATGCTTGCTTTTGAGGCTTGGGTGTTTTACTCCCAGACAAGATACGCGTGAACGGGAGCGAGCCACCTTCTATTATAGACATCGGAGATGATAACTGGAGTCTGGAAGAAAGGATCCGGCTCCTCGAGCTGACGCCAATACCAAGTCCCCAGGTACATCGCATGAAAAGAATCACACCGTCTCCATCCTTGCTTTAGCATGTAGTTTCTACGTGACGAGTGACTAGTGATCAGTGTGCAGTGTCGAGTGCCAGGCTTCGCCTCTGCCGCCGCCAATGGTTTAGCTCGATGGTCCCCTTGGCTGTTGACGCCGAGATTATGGTCTTGTGGGTAAGTGTGACAGCCTCGACGGAGTGTGTACCCAAGGCCGGTGGAATGGAGCGAGAGAGAAAGCCACAAACGTTTACAGGGCAAGCATGTGAGACTTCTCAAACGGTGCTAGGTATTCAGTGCTCGCAGGATCGCTGCCCCTCCCCCGCCAACGTCTTTCCTGGTCCCGGCTTCCGGCGAAGACGGATGATCGTGTGCCATGGCCCGCCCAGAGTCCATATGTAGTATAGAATGCCTAGGGTACGCAGGGGGGCTAGAAAGTGAGGCAGCGGGACATGAAGCAGTGTCTGTTGCCGCAGGTGGCAGTCATTCAGAATCCAACCCACGCCACTGGTTGAACAGTCATGCGCCAATCCATGTTGAGAACGACGGAGACTGAGGAGGTGAATCCACTCCTTCCGCTCCTCCCCGGCCATCCATTTCGAACATGATTCTTTTAGCCCTCCTCGGAACGGATAGGTACGGTATGGGGGGTGGACGAGGGTGAGGGTGAGGGCGAGGGTGAGGCTGGGCGTAACCCGCTAGATCTGGGGTAAAAGAGATGGAATTGGCCGTGATGTACGGGGAATGGACTGCTAAGGGTGCGGGTTGCGGGATTGTGGTTGCAGAAGACACCCCGCCAGGCTCACGGCAAGGGAAGGGAAGGTGAGGGCCTGCAGGGGCTAGGCAACGGCGCAGGCGCAGGCCCGTAAAATGATATACTAAATGCTAGGTACTACGTATACTACCTAAGGTAGGTATCAAGGGATGTAGCGTATGGAGGACTGCGGAAGGGGCGGGGTGCAGGCTGGGCGCGCGCGCGCAGATACGGGTAGGGTAAGGAGCAGGAACGGTGCGGTGCGGGCAGCGGTACGGTGATCAGTTGTTGGTGATGAGCTCCTGCTTATTCGCAGCTGCACGACTGGATAGAGCATTCAAAAGTAAGGTAAGTACGGATAGTGCCTGAAGGAATCGTACTCCGAAGTCGCGGTAAGGGTATGCATCGGGGGGGGGGGGGGTGCTCCGAAACGGTGCTGGCCCGCGCATGTATTACCTCTTTAGGCAAGGACCACGCTTTGCTGTGTGTCTCGACTCTCCAAAGTGGATTTCTTCTTTTGCTGCGCCCAGAAATGCTGAGGTGCCGAGAAAAAGCATATGATCACGACCTCGACTTCGATTGCATGACCGCCCTGCTCTCTGTGCGTCTGGTGTCCGTCACGCAGCGTCACCTCTTCCAAGATTCTCTAAAGAGTGCCTTCCTTTGAACCGTCTAGCTTGTATATGATCACTCGAAATGGAGAAAGAAAATCAGACAGAAAAGGTATACCTACGTAGATGAGCTCACTTCTCGCCGGGCTCTTCCGATTGCCGGGCAGCGTTTCCCTGGCCATGGCAAGGGTACCGGCGCACACGGCACCACCACCAATACCACCACCATTACGGTTGTTAAAGATCCAGAACTGCCATGGCGATATGCTTAAGTGGTGGACTCGAGAGTTGGCGCGCCGCACGGCACTCCCCCGGGGTGGGAAACACTGACGTTGCGACAGAAAGTTTATTAGTCTACACACTGCGTAGTCGAACTGCTCATGATGATTTCCGCGCGCGGAACCCGAGCAGTCCATGGTACCAAGGTGACTGGGATACTAGCTGTACGGTTTTGCCTAGTGTGCCGCCGGTGAACTTCTTTGGTGTGTGTCGTGTGTCTGTCTCCAAGCCTAGTGGACTGTGTGAGTGTTAAAGTGTGCCAATGTCTTGTAAGTGTTGCACAGCAAATGACAAATGATTCTTACAAAATTGGGATTCTAGACGCCGCAAACTTTCCAGGCCGTTACTGCGTTGGTCTTGGGAACTTGGGATGACCGCGGTCCACGATCGTCCGGAGGAACGACAACTGAATAGGATCTGTATCCCCGCGCTGTTTACCAATTTGGCATGTTTTTTGGGTAATGCACTTTCTTCCATTCGATATTGCTCCTCTGATTGTTCTTCCTCCACGGGCTGTTGCTTTTAGAGGTTGCCAGCTTGCATTGAATGCTTGGATCTGTTCCCAACATAACTAGAGTTTCCTGGTATTGTAGCACACTGTCTCATTAGCTGTAAAGCTGTATCGTGTGCGTACCGTATCGTGAGATTTACTTTCAATGCCCGATCCTGTCTGGGTCGATCATTTGTATCTGTGCTAGTAGAGCTGGAGAAGCCTACATCATACGGGCTCTCATCTTGGCATGTAGCCTTGTAGGTAGACCGCTACTACTCTTTCAACTTTCACTGCCGGTTTTATTCTCCGTCTTGCTTCAGATAAATGAGTGTCTCGACAGGTTAAGAGTAACATGCCAGTCCTTCCGTCTCACGACGTATTTAACCCAGCTCATGCAACCTTTCCCCGCCATATCACCCTCACATATGCAGGCAGGATCGTGGGGCGGGCAATAGGGAATTGCATGTCAATACAACTAGCCCAATGAAGATGACAAAACGGGATTCTCCGGTTCCTCGACAGAATTCGAGAGCCAATCTATACGTTTGTGGGACTAGTATACGAAATTCAAGGTTGCTGTAACCACATCACACACGCAAACAGAGAATGAAACGCCCAGCCAAGGGGTACTAATCACCCAGTACTTGACGTATTGAAGCATACAAACAGGCCCAGAGTATGGAGTGAGGCCTGGGCCTGGTTTGGGCTGCTACATCTATATCTACTTACTTCCCCGCATTATCTCCCCGAGATCACTCAACTCCACGTAAGATCACCAATGACTAGGCCGGCACACTAGACTAGACATTCTGTCATTGCCGCGTTGTGTTATGTTCCTTGCAGGGCCAAATGACCAGTTAGCCTTAGCTCCTCGAATTTCCTTTTCAACCCGCAATATTCCCTTCCACCCCTGCCCCCCCCCCCTCCTTTTCCCAGCTTCCCGCCCCTTCCATACGGCCGATATATGAATGTGACTAACCTATGTCCCGGGACAGCCCTTGAGATCACCGGGGCTTCACGGGCTTGAAAAATGTACTACAATTTCTTCTATCTGGGCGATGCCGAGGCACGTTGATTTGGTGGTTGTAGAAGAAGAGGTTGAAAGCCGAGAAAGTTTCGTCACTGAACAGCGACAACTACGTCTTTGAAAGCCAAGAGCTTTCCCCAGTTACGAAGAGTGTGGGGTTCAAACATGTTATTGGGCACTCAAGCCGGTCAACAAACGGCACGTAGAAATGTCAAGCTCACAGGACACAGCTTGCCGAGCTCATTCCGGGTCTTACCGCGAGTCTCTGATTCCAAGGGATTCCTGCGGCTTTGGTTTCCACACGTCTCGATTTAGCTCAAAATCCGGGGTATCACCAGGCATTGTAGTAATAAATCAGTATCTGACGCCATCATATGTACATTATCCTCCGCCTCCACCGGAACCATTGGAAAGCACCCCCCCCCCCCCTTTATAGCCCTGTACCAGCACCCGATGTCTTTCCGTTGCCGTTGGCAATTGTGCCTCCGGCGGAGGCAGACGCCGCCGCAGCCGTTCCGTTCTGTCCGACTTTTGGTTCTGACCCCTCAACTTCAATGCCACTAATGAACAGGGCACTCACACCCTCGAGGAGCGCCACGAAGACGCATAACAGACTGGCAATGACAAAGTGGCTAATAGTCGAGCCGATCTCCAGCCAAGAGCCCTCATCCTTGACCACCCAGAAGAAGTATAGAGTGAGGACGTCGCTGATGGCCATTACAACCATGAAGAGAGAGGAGGGCGCCACGCCAAGTCTGACGTTAAGGATCCCGAGGTTCGCCGATATGAGGGCGAACGGAATCATGAGCTTGACGACGAGAAGCGCCCCCTGGGAGAAGGGATCAAAGATGGGAATTAGGCGGTACACGCTGTCCAAGCTGAAGGATGAAACCGACGCTACGTTCCCAGTGCTGAAGAAGGCTGATTGCAGCAAGACGAAGAAGAACAGACATACTCGCGCGTCGGCGAGAGTCAAGGCTCTAAAGCGTGACGTGGACGCATCCTGTGGCTTACTGGCAGTGTCTTTTGAGGAAGAGCGTCGATCTTCCTCAGTGCCCTTGCTAAAGACGAATACGCGATGCTCCAGACCGACCCAGGCAACCAGCAAGGCACTGAAAGCCACATAAAAGACACCTTCGTAGGAGATGGTTAAGATTACGAACGTCGGTGCACAGGTCAAGAACATGGTCATCAGACTGTGCTTGTAGTGGCTGTTGGGCTGCAGACGTTGAGCCAAGGGCATGAGCAGCGAAATAACTGGACAGATGGTTAGCAATGCCACGAAGTTATCCTGCCCTCGAACACTTACCCAGAACAATCCAGCCTACAACTTGATTTCCCCGAGGCAACCCCGCCTTCGCCTGAAGAGAGATAGCGCTGGACCGAGTGACCACGATCGCAAGTAAGATCAAGCCGATCTGCAAGGTCTCTAGTTAGCCTTTGTTGTTTCGTAGCACTTCAACCTGAGCACAATTCCTCACCTGAATACCTGTCAGAGTCCTGGATATGGGCAGAGCTGGCTTCGCCAACAGTCTGTCCTCCCAGATAAGATACGCCAGACCAATGGCGGCCATGACGATTCCACCGGCCACACTACCATGCGTTAAAATGTGAGTCCCAGTATGAATGGCATGTGGCGAACGTACATTAAAGGGATATCCTCTGACTTCATGGCGGGGAGCAACGTAAACACGCTCATGACCAAGCAGGAGAAGAACCAGACGACAGACAGCAGAGAGTTCAACTGAAGGAATCTCAGGCCATACGTCATTGGCCAGAAAGCCGCGAGAACGTAGATCACGGTGAGAACCTCGCGATGAATGTATCCCAGAGCCTGTGTACCTGGATTAGTAGTGTCCACCGGTCGAAGCAAAGATTCATCTTACCAAAGACACGATAATGCCGATGTAAGCCACGAGGTTCAGCAGGAACGAAAAAATACTCGCTCCAGTCTTGATGTGCCCAAAGAGAACCTTTCGGCCCTCGATAAGAGAGCTACGTCTAGCCCAGACTTCCTCCCAGAAGACGACGGGAAAGAAACCATAGGCATAATATGTGACCGGGGACTTGGAAATGATGAAGGATGCGTACAACGCTGCAAGGACGGAGCTGAAAGCCGTCGTGCCAAGAGTCGTACGTGAAGGAAGCTGGCTGCCACGCAGAACATGCAGATCAACGACAATCGTCAGCGCGAACGCCATCCAACCAAGGTATCCGATTGTGATCAGCGTGCGGAGGAACAGCCAATCGTAAGTCTGGAGGTATCTCAAGCCCTCCAGGGCGATCTTCATAAGAGCTGCAGACTCCTCAATGGCCTCTTCGTAGTTGCCAGCGTCGACCAAACGTTGGATAGCGGCCACTCGGCGCTCAGGGGCCAAACCTGCATCACTCAAGGGCTGGAATGGTCGGTAGCGGACCTCCGTGGCCTTCTTTTGTTCTTCCTTGACCCTGTACATCTCCAAAATCTCGCGAGCGTTGATGAGTGCTGCCTGAGCCTTCTCCTCGATACTCGATGAGACGTAGGACAAGGGTAGCTCACCAACGGAGTTGGCAGGGAACTCCACACCGATCAAATATGCCATCAGAGCAGCAATATCAGCTTGCGCCACGTCGTGTCTCTTGATCTCATCAAGATGCCAGTCAGAAGAGTACTCGTCGTGCCCAGGAGCAACAGAATCGGAGGAAAGCACCGGCGGGGCAATGCCAGATCCCCAGGTGATCAAGGGGGTGCGAGTATTATTAGGATGGCCATCGCCGTGGCTGCCCCAGTCACTCATGCCATGGTCGGCAGTGAAGACGAAAGCGGTCCGGTCATCGGCGTAGAAGTTCCCGATCATTTCTGTAATTTCCTTGACACCTTGGTCCACAACTTTGATATTATGCAAGTATTCCTTCGAGTAGGGACGGTACGAGTGTCCATTGGTATCCAGGCCGAGCAGATGGAGGAAAAAGACGACTTTGTCTTGGCGCAAAGCGGCATCAAGAGTGTCGTTCTTGGCTGCATCGGCGAAAAGCTCCTTGACGTGGTCAAAGACCCAGAAGTCCAATTGCAACGCATCTTGGCTGAAATCCTCAAACTCGTGTCCGTATGTGTAGGAATCGACGCGGCCGGGGACGGCGCCCTGTTCGAACATTGGCAAAATATCGGGGGATCCCCAACTCCAGGTATGACGGCTTCGGTTGAAGACGCTGTCGAAGTTTACGGGGTTGAGCTTCCAGCCAGTCGCCACGGCCGAGACATCTTCATAAAGACCGGCGATGAGCGCAACATGGCCAGGGCGAGATTCAGTCGGCACGCGCGTGTGTGACACTCCAAAGGTGCCATGTTCAAGAACGCGGGATCGTAGGAAAGGGGCGAGGGGTCGCGGGGTTAAGTCATCCTCAGATTCGGGGTAGGGGTCGGGAAAGGACTGGAAAGCCTTGTCTGCTCGTAAACCGTCACCTGGAAGAGAATGTTAGCATCCTGCACCAGCTACTCCATGGTATTTGAGAAGGTGGGCGAGCTCATACCCACGAAAAGAACCAGACGGTCTGCAGGGGCTTTGGAGTTTTCGGGTCGTTCGATTTGAACAAGCTTCATGCCCGAAACAATAGGACTGACGAAGTAAATGTCAAAA